AGTGGGTCACCCATCCCAGAACTACTCCAGCCTAAGCACGCTTAACTGTGGAGTTCTGTTAGGGATTTCACCGCCCGGGAAAAGGCCTCGATGCTATATAAGGGTCCAGGTTTTTACTTTTATAGCCCAAGAACTCCCCCTCCATTCCCGAAGGTTTAGAATGTGGGAGGTTGGTGGTTCGAATCTCAGTGGAAAAAAAGTTAGTTTTTTAATTGTAAGGCCCCGGTGTCCCACATCGGGAATGGAGGGGGAGTTCCTGGGCTATAAAAGTAAAAACCTGGACCCTTATATAGCATCGAGGCCTTTTCCCGGGCGGTGAAATCCCTAACAGAACTCCACAGTTAAGCGTGCTTAGGCTGGAGTAGTTCTGGGATGGGTGATCCACTGGGAAGAACAAATCCGTGCAGCCGTGGCCCAAAGCGGACAATATCGATGACATGTGAAGGGTCGGGGCGTTACAGTCATGCATGTTGCTAACGATGTTGTACCTGTTAAGTTTCTTTTACAGGCACGATATTGTATGTACGGTTCATTTGAAGTTGGAGCAACCAGACGAACCGCACAGGTATTATATTCTCCGCGTGGAACGTAGTGAAAATTACATAATTCTCTTACATCCTTTCTGTATTGTAATGTAGTCGGATTTGTGTTTGATTGCTTAAAACTGCTGCATGTTATGCTTCGTTGCAGCTTTCTTTTCATGATCATAAGTTATGTTCGGCTTTTTGCATTGTCAGTTGCATTTTGCCCCCGCCTTCTGGCGCATATCTTATCTGTGGCCTGTATGCTTTGTCTAAGTCTTCGGCCTTGTCAAAAATGGGTCGTCTCTGGACTTTGACATTCACTCCCGTCATTGTTATGACTTTCGAGTTCTATCAAAGAGGGGCAACTGTAGACACTCCATTTTTGACCGTCCTCAAGACTCAGACGTCACCGTTTGAGCACTCGGTGATCATCCATGTTTGTGTTTGTTTTGAGTTCCCGGAGGTCTCGGCTGCGCGCCTTACCTCAGGATCTCTCAACTCGACTGTATTGTGTTTGGTTTTACACCAAACACTTGTGTTTTTGCTTTGAAGGGCAGGGAGTGGCTTGTTGGCCATCCCCACACCTCACCGGCCTTCCCCATACATCACCGGCCATGGCTTGAGGCCACCGGCTTCGTTTTCTTCCCACCGGCCATTAGTGATGGCCGGTCGGCTATTTGGATGGTCAACCGGTACTCTATTTGGCCGATGGCCTCCTTTTCTGGCCGATACCACCTTTTTGCTTTTTACAGGCATAATGCATGCCAGTTGTGCCAGTTGGAATGCACGGACCCTCCTCCCCATGCACGGGTGTGGCTGTTTTGAACCTTTGATCCTTTTGATCCAACTTCTTGTACCCTTTGCTCAAGCTTCTTGAGGAAGCTTGACCCTTTGTCTTAGCTTCCTCAAGAAGCTTGCACCCTTAGCGTAGCTTCCCTTGGAAGACTTGACCCCTTTAGGATAGCTTTTCTTGGAAGCTTAGCCTTTTCCATTGTCCATATAAGAGTCCCCTCCTCCTCCTTTGTGTTGGTTCAGCAAAATCAGACCTAAAACATATATATTCTGATATATACATCTTGTCTCTCTATATCTCCCTCTCTCTCTTCATTTGTGTGTGTTTGAGGGCCTAAAAGTGTATTTAGTTCTTAGTTTTGTACTAAGTTACCTACTATTACACCATAATTTGACTTTGGAGGTCTTGAGGGTTTGTTCTTGGAGCTTTGGGTCAGTTTTGATCAGAAGAAGAAGGCTGAGCTTGCTGTTCTTGAAGTGTTCTTCAAGGGTAACACTATTTACTTTATATTCCCCAATCTTGCACTAGTCTTTAACCTATCTTGCATACTGATTTAAGCTTTGTGTATAACTGAAAAAAGTCTTGTATTTGCATGCTTAAGATCTTTCATTAAGGTCATTTTGGTGTTGGGGGTCGACCTCCCCCTCTTAGGCCTTGTTTGGCCCTTTTTGTGCTCTCTTTGATAAACTTTGGGGACTTTTGTGTATTGGCCTTCTCACCACTGAAATCCAGTGGATTTTCAGTGGTGAAAAAGGGGTTTTGAAGTCTTGCATAGGGGAGGGACACCCCTCTCCCTTGGTCTCTCTTTTGTTTGCATTTTTAGCCCATAAGGGTAGCATGTATGATTAGTTGTTCTTGGCTTCATTTCAGAGGATTTTGGGTGTTACTGGGTCATATTATGCCTCTTTTTTTGGTCGGATTAGTGCCCCCTTCCATGCTTAATATACTTGCTTTGTATTCCTCTCTTTTGCCTAGAAGTGCATCATGTATTTAGTTTACCATGCTCTCATGTTTTGGCCTAACTTTGTGAAGTTCTTAGCCATGTCTTACCATGCTTGAGATCTGTTGGGAACCATTTTGGTCATATTTGCTGTGTTTAGGGTAGCCCCTTTGTATTTTGGCTTGTGAGCCTTGAGGGTGTGAGTCATGAGCATGCCTTAGTCGGGTTATTTCGGTGATTTGGAATCACCTCTCATGTTGTTTCAGTCCCTAATCCATACTTGTATTCTTGCATTCATAATCCCTTTCATGCCTTGAAGGATTGTTCTTTTATGCCTAAAAATGAGCCACTGTGTATGATACCGTGTTTAGGCATTTGAGGCTACCATATCAGTGGGTTTTGGGGTGTATTTTGATGCATAGAAACTCTGTTTTTGGTTGCTTAGTTCACGCCATGAGTGCTTGGGGTAGGTGTTGAGCAATACTCTCTTTTGTGGCCTTGAATCCCTTCTATTTTTGCAGCCCTTCCCTAGCATGTTTTGGCATCGTTCTTGGCATGCTTTTCAGAGTTTAACATGAGTGTTTAATGTCCATGTATATCACATTTGAGTGTTCTTGAGAGTAGCCCTCCATGCTTGGGTGATGAGCCTTAGCATGTGCACACTTGCATGCATAATTTGTCCCCTTTTGCATCATCTTTTGGCCACTGTTTTGGGGTGTGGCTGAGGCCTCCCATTTCGGTTTAAGTCCCTCCTTGTGTATAATCG